TTTTCCTAAAATTAACTAGAGGGCACTATGGCACTACACTCGTTCAAATACCATTGGTTCACAAATTTGTGCAGTCTGCGTGCTTGTGGCTTCGTTTATTCTTGTGCTTTCACGTTTGTTTTGGAAAATAAATAGATCATTGTGATCCATATCGAATTGGTGAGACTAACCCCTGTATTCTATAACGTCCCTTCACTCAACGCTTTACCTTTACCTGAGAAAGCTGATGGGAGCGCTGCCTCTAGGCGGACAAGTCACTGCATATCAGCGATAATCTTCGATTCTTGAGTAGCGCAGTGCCATTTTCAGCTGAGCAGCGGCGCAGTGCTCAACAATGTCAAGTGAAGGGTGAAAGTTGAGTCGAGAAGCGTTTGTGAATACGGGGGTAAAAAATTGAGGTGGTGAAGCGAAACTGCTGAACATTTGTTGATTGTCGTCTTGTGACAAAGCGGCTTCAGACCAAACGAAGCCAAACGGAGCCGAAAGAATGAAGTTTAGACAAATGTGTGTACTACTCATCATATTTACGTCGGCTGAAGCACTGTGTGTTGAAGCTCCCATACACACTGGCGCCAGAGTTCCCTCTTGTGTACTTATCGGAAACTGATTCAGCCATCGCTGTGGACATGTGCAGCGCTGTCTAACTAGGGTGCTGCCCACTTGGCAACGGTGTTGACTAGACAGCACACACTATACCATTTCTAATGTTTGCCGTAGTTCCGAGTTTCATTTGATGTCGATAGCAGTGTAAGAAAGCAAACAGTCTCAATTTACCATGTGTTACAAGACGGAAAAGTGTTTATTTTGTACAGATGGAACATGTTCTTGAATTTAAAGGTCACATGGGCTAGAAGCCGGACTGCCTGCCGCGCCTCGAAGGTGGCACCGGTCCACCGCGCATGGGAGGCGTCGAAATGGCAATGTCCAGGTAGTCGCCGATCTGAAACCTGCATGCGTTGAGGGTCTTGTTGTCGTCTGAGCCTTTCTGCCCCGAGCAGGTGGTGCCGATGTCCCGCATGCGATAGCCCGGACCTCGCACATCAGGGAATACCAGCGCAAAGTCAAAGAAGGTGCCCTTCCGCCGTGCATCTCTGTTCACTTCTTTGACGAGGCTCGTAAGCTCCTTCAAGGTAGCGTCCATCCTGAAAGTGAAGTGAGCTTTTAGCATGATGCATGCAGGCGCAATGACCCAGTATGCACCATTTAAACATGCAATTTTAAAGCTTGTGACCCATCTGACGCGTCGAATAGTGCTATGCTCATCCTCGCCATGTTTTCCAAGATGCCAGACATTTTAAAACGAAAGAAGGGAAATTTAAGGCTTTGTTTTTCTTTGTTGGACACAAAAGTAGCGATGGGCAGAGCAAATGAAACATGTACCGAGCAGAAAACGACGACACATTCACTATCAACTTAATGTTTAACGGAAAATCACAGATATATATAGGTAGCCATGAACAAAGGCAACCTGTTGATAACAACAGACGTACATGTGAGAGTAACCCATACAGCAGCATCATAAAAGACAACTGGATAATACCCGGATGCGAGCGTTTTCGCATTAAGCATAGCTTTTGTTGACAACGATAGAAATGGCTTACTAACACAAACATCACTAAGAATGTCCATATGCTCAGCTCCTACAATGAGGGGGGTCATCTCGTCCACAAAACGACCCAAAATGATAGTTCTATCGAAGTTTTCAGTCACTAATTTGTGTGTTTTTCGGCAAAACTTTTACCAGACTATCGTTTTGGGTCGTAACAAGAACGAGATCACCCGCCTAATCATAGAAAATGAGCATATCAATGCTCCTGGTGATATTTATATTAGAAAGCTATGCCAACAAAAATATTGAGCCTCCTGTCAAAATGCTCACATCCTGGTACTGTCCAGTCATTACCTGTTATGATGCTGCGGTATTGGCGACTCCCTCGAGCACATCAGATGTTATCACAAGGCTTTTGTTCACGGTTAAAATTGCGGTATATTTAGGAAAGTCGAGGTCTAGAAAAATAAACATAATTGTTGATAGTAGTGCGTGCTGCATGTGTTGCCTTTTTTTTGTCCTTGTGTCGAGTTAACACTGCGATCAATTCCTCCAACAAAATAGTCAATACGAACCACTCGGCACCTCGCAGTGAAACAGACACGACGAAAAGACCACAAGACTGTGAAATACGAGGTACTGTACTAGTAATTTACTATTGGCATGGCACCTCCGATTTGGAGATAATACCAGAGGCATAGCTAGAATTTTTTGCGGCGGGGGGGGGGGGGGGGGGAGGGGAATTCAAGGTTCCTGAAAGTATGTTTGTGCGTGCGTTTGTACGTGTGCGTGTATATATGGAAGTTTACCCCCCCTTCCCGTCTTTGGCTACGACACTGGATAGTACGTATGACAAGCTGTGCTGTACGCGCTGAACGGACTACATTGAGCGTCAGAAGCGTTGAAATTGAGTCGCCCGCTCATTACTATCAAACCTTTACTGCATGGAGCAGCAAGTCAGCGGTGTTCAGAGCACGCCAGCACAATTCATGACGGCATATCGTCACAGAAGCAAGCAAGACCGCGTTGGCGTACTCGCATCTTCAACAGGACGTAACAAATTCAACGGGTTCGAAGTGTACCGCCAAGTTGGGGAATCGAAGCAGGTTCGAACAGCGCACGTCAGTTGCCGAGACGGCGCATCAATATAAGCTTTCGAAACTCACCAGGTGTAGATCTGCAGTTCGTTGCTCGGCACGTTGCCCCTGGAGTACTCGCTCATGGAATGATGCCTGGAGTTGTTGAGGAATACCCGCAACAGCAGCGGACAGGTCTGCGTGGGAAACGGAGTTGGAACTCACAAGACTGAAAGTTGCACCGCTCGCATCGTTGCAATCGAGGCAGTGATTGGGCCGACAGTGCTAAGTTTGGCCGTGCGGGTGTTTGAGTGCATACTCGAAGCGCCCGTACGACTTCTGAGGGACTGTACAAACCTTTTCCCGGTCAATCGGCTTCTCATTATCATTCTTCTCTTCCACTACGGACTCCATCGCATAAACAATGGCGACTGCGCCGGTGCCCTTGTTGCCTGCATTGATATCGAAACCAACTCAAAACTTCAAAGCGCACTCACTACATGCCCAACCAGTTTCATAACTACTTGTAAAAATGTTATTATGTTACAATATTAAACTTCTTTTTTAAACATTACGCCTAACTTTTTTTAACTGCCGCGAGAAATTTGGCGAAAGCGTGCGGCGTGGCTGAAACCGCGTGTGCGCTTGCTTCCTGCGCTTGAAAGGCATGGCGGTGCTCTACGCGTCGTGAAGTCTATTTTTGTGCATTCCGAGCGCCTTTAGTTTTTTCGGAGCTCAATCTAGCGGTGGAATAGAGAGACCGTAAATATAACTGGCTCTCTTTCACGTGCGCTCGCAGTTGTGCCTTGTTATTGCGTTTTCTTCTGTTGTCGGCGCGTGCGGTATTGTAGTTTTGTCTTATTTTCGGATGCAGATAGTCAACTGAGCCTCAAGCAGCTTCAGAGTAACCATTCTGATAGACGCCTTTGCGAAAAAGCGTTCTGACTGCCACGAAGGCTGAGTCGTTGCAGTGCTGTTGTCCATTTCCCGAGCTGTGATGGAAACCGAAGTACAAAGAGCGGACGAAACCCTCGTGACCCAAGAAGAAGCGCGAGATGCAAAGACGATCGTTCCTAATTTGGTAAGGCGTTGCATTTCGGCGTGCTTTTAGCACCTAGCGTGCTGCTCGGAGTTGCCGGTAATCCCGCTGCGTTGCACGTGTGCCCTCCCACGATTACGCCTCGTTACCTTGTGCGAGTAGCGCACGAGATGAGGGGTGCGCAAGGAATCAACTCGTGAGCGCCTCTCGTGAACCATTTGGCCGCGTACTCGTTTCTTATGGTGGAATACAGTCAAAGAGGTTTCGGTCAGTGCGCCTAGTGGAAAGATTGGCTGAAAGGTCTGGTGGTTATGTATAAAAGGGGCACCTCAAGATCCTCGCCGTGAGCTTTACGCACTGAAACTGGCGGACGCACGCGCGTTTTAACTCTTTGTTTATCTGGCAGTGTTTCAGCTAATACAAAAATAAAACATTGTCTAGAGTCACAGTGTTAGTATGTCGCGTGCTTCCGTTTTATGTTTTATGTCTTCGTTAAAAGAAAGCTACAAGGGGAAAATGAGTGACAGTGAGACAGAAATTTGAGGAGTTACGAGCAAATCAACGTAGGCGAACCTTCAAAATACTCGTTAGAATCGTTAGAAGTTTTGCTAACGCAGTCTTTACAATCTGTTGATTTGTGCTTTTGTGCACTTTATTGTACTGCTAGAAAAACTTGCCTAGAGAATGTGTCATAAGCGAGGCAAAATGATTTGGTCGACTCTGGACACGTTTGCTAGGGTCATTGCCCCTGTGGCATTGTGTGGAATGCAATGTGAAACTGTGCTTGACCGCCACGATGCCAAGAAATCCTGACATGCGCGTCGCACGAGGAAGCTTAATATCACTTGAACATAATCACACTTACTATTAATGTGGTTAGCTGTATGCAACTTGGGAACAGCTAACATCATTAAATGAAAATGACATTTGCAAGCAAACAAGTTTATTCAACTCGAATGCAATTTTCACTTGTGAGTACCCCTCTCCTAAGAGGGGCCGTGAATAAAAGAAACAGTAAATAATTAAGACAGTTCTTATTTTCAGGTGCCTTGTATTATTTAGTGCCGAGTGATAAAACTGATGGTGCATTTGACTGGGCGCCACCGTGCTCAGACTCAAATTGCATCAATGTAGAGCTCGCTCTTGGTCCGAGAAAGAGAAGGCATATTAAAATGGAATTTGAAGCTGTGCTGAAACAGTCGGAGGATGAAAAAACATGCTACCATACCTTGTGTTGTGAGCAGATAGAGGTGAGGGAGTCGCGTGATTGATCTTGATCGTGCTACAAAGTGAAATTGAGAGTGCCTTAGGGTACTCTAAATTGGTGCCTGCAGCTATGAAAGAACAAGTAAGATGTATTATTCAGAGCACTCATTCTCGACCTTTAAAGCATGATGTGCATAATCAGAGTGCTTGGAAATGGATAATCAAGGAATGTACCATTACTTAAAAGATTAAGTATCCTCGTTGCCAGTGACGTTGTCAAGAGCGTTGCTTGCCACGTCATGCCATGTGCTAAATTGTGGCTGAAAATCACAAGCTTGCTTTTCTTTATTTGGTAATTCATTTTACCGTTATTGTGTTAAGATTGGAGTGAGCTCTACATATACGAATAACTAAGTACAGCTCCTTGAACATGATTGCAAAACGTGGCAGTCATCTTACGCAAGGCAAGTGTGTAGAGAGCATATTCAGCAGTGTGTCAGTGTGTTTCATGTTTTCATCACACATGTAGGATGCAAGCCCAGAAGATTCGGTGAGGCAGGAGGAAGACCCTGCCACTGATGACAATGCTGGGTGCGTCGCAGTGCCTACAGAAGCCGAAGTGGTCGCCAATGGCGAGGTTCACTCTCCTTGCCCGGATTCGCCAGCTGCAGAGGTTCCCGAAACTACGGAGGCCCCCGTTGCCAAAGAGAGATCAGAGTCCCCAGTCTCCGATAAGAAGGTGGAGCCTCCTGTTGCGTTCCCGAGGGACCCCGAAGTCATCAAGCTAATGAAATCGTTTGGCGGCAAGGCGAAGGAGATGAAGGCTGCCGTAATGGAGACTCTGAACGCTAGGCTGGCGGCAGGAGACTCCTCGAATGGAGCCGCTGTGCCCTCGTTTGAGGACGAGGCAGCCAAGAAACTTAGCTTGCTCAAACAGGTGTGTTGGGTGCTATGTAGTGTTTCCTACTTTTGGCTCAATTTATTGGTTTCCTATGTAGCATGATAATAATTAGCTGAGAAAATGAGAACATTCAGCAAGTTTGTGTTCCATGCCATTCAGAAACATTGTGACACTCTTCAAAGGAGTGGCTACACAGTCACATCTGAATGGCACTATAAAACAAAAGCTTTTAAGACAAAGTTTGACGTCCATATAATATGCAGTGACACAAGTAAAACAGCATTGTCTCTTCCTCATTTGCACAGTAAGCGCAGCCAAGCAAGCCTATTTCTGAGTCATTAAAATAACACTAAACAGAAAAAATATTTTTCACGTGTTTGTACACTACTCTTATACAATACTTAAAACAAACAATGCTTGTGAGAAAACAGTTGGTAAGCGAGCAAACTTGCAAAAAACATGTGAGTGGGAACATTACCTTGATGCTTCCTTGCCGCTCATCACGTTATAGACATTCACACTATTAGCTGAGGCCTCCGCAGTTACTGATTAGTCTAAGAGAACCATATTATTGATAGCCTGAGATATGACAGTACAAGTTCTTAAAATTTTCGTTGAGCCAATGTGCCCAAATTGCTGAAGAAACTCTTAAATTCGTGACATCTTTACCAGAAATCTGGGCTGGAAGTTTAGAAGCGAAGCTTTGGACATTGATTTTCTTGTCTATCATTAAACTCATGGTGGTCAAATTAGACTGTGGAGCTTTCACAGCAAACCTTATCAGTCTAAACTAATTTATTATTTTGCTTTGGCGTACCTGAAATTCCCCTAAAACACCCGCGATAATTCTTTTTTACCTTTGAATTAAGTGCACGCATCGAGTTCAAAATGTCGTCACGATCAACAATGCCAAATGTGGCAGCGTTACGAGCTGTGGGTTCCCCACATGTTCCAAGGCACAATCTCTTCTCCTCTCCAGGCCATTTGGTAATCCTAAAAGATTGCCGTGACGTCAACGATCGTGCCTGTTTGCGTTATTCACGTAACGTACCTGTTTTGCCTGCTTGTGGGTGTATGTGCTTGTCGCTCTTCTTCCTCGCACCGCGAGGAAGAGCGACAAGCTCCAGGAGATGAGCTGATGAACAGAGGAAGGAAAGAGTAAAACGAGCAAAGGCCTCTTTTGCATTGTCAAACAGCTGTAACTTTACTATCATGGCACAATTTCGAAAACTTCTCATTCTAGACTCTTCCACAACTGCAACATTAGAGCTTAATTTCGACCTCTAGGTGGTTTGGGGGCCCTTCGAGGTGTGGGCTGTAATGTCTCGTTGTGACTCTATTTCTTTTATTCAGGTTATTCAGAAGAACGCAGTGGAAGCCGCCCAGGCATCCAAGTCCGTCGATCAGGCGGGTACTCCTCCGTCCCCTTCGTCCCCCGTCCCACGGAAAGAACCCTGTGTCACAGCAGCACGCAAAAGTCCGTCCCCGATGCCCGAGGCAGTTCGGTCCGAAAAGTCGCCATCTCCTTGCACGAAGTCGCCCAAGTGTTGCACTCCACCCGAGTGTGTTGTCCATTGCGACAAGAAGGTGCCACAGCCGACTGCAACCGCCGACAATGCTGTGAGTGGTGGAAGCTGTGTTTGCATGAAAACTTTTGTTTTTGAGGGTTCGTAGACCAAAGTATTGTCTTGAAGGAGAAATACACTAGTGCACTGTGACACAAACAGAGAGAAGGGATGGGACTGGTGCCTTTGTCAGTTCGTATGTTGCATTGCACTAATGCATTTTTCCAACAAAAAGCTATGAACCAACTAATTCTCAAAAAAACGTGTTGCTGAGCGAAGTGCTGTATTTGCAAAATTTTATTGAAATTTGAAAAAACCAGCACAAACAAAGCATGGTAAAAACAATTTTCTTTACACATACTATCAATAGCATGTTGAAAAAATGTTTTTGACATACAGCCATAACAATTTCTGGTAGGACCTAATGAAAATTCCTCTTTAGCTAAATTTGCAAAATGTGGTTCCAGCTCCGTGGAAATTTCTTACTTTTTTAGAGAAGGCAGAATTTCACTCAGGACGCTAACATTAGTGTCATGATTCTGGGGATTTGGACAGCGAGAATGTTTTTTTTTTTTTTTTTGCAAGATTAAATGAGATCGCCAGACACGCATCGTCATTCTTCAGTGAACGCACCCAGTTGCATTTTGTGGAACCTTGGTTTATACGTTCCCCAATTAAATGAACCTTATTTTTCGATAAATGAGCTTAATCCTGGCGAAAACCGCACAGAAATAATATATTGAAAAACCTCGGTTATATGACACTGTTTTTTACACTGAACTCGCATTATAGGACAACCTTGTGGCATTGTCAAATAAAAAAATTACCCTTTTTAAACTCAAATGTAAAGGCACTGAATTTAGTTGTGTTTAAAATAAATACGAGTTCAACCTACTGTTTAATACAAAACTGACGTCCCCTTTAAAAAAAGAGAGAGAGAGAGTGACATGTACAGTTTGCCTTATTAGAATGAAAAATTTATTTTCCTGGCAGTTCACTTTCTTCTGTAATCCGGTTTTTTTTTTTACTTCAAGATGGTTTCTGGATACGCCTCGTTTGCGTGTGTTCCAGGGTCGTTAACTTAACAAGCTTGATGTACATGGAGTAGATTAAGCTGGTTCGCAAGCTCATCTTTCAGGTTCCCAATTTTTGCATTTTCAGCTCATGGAAGCTTTTCTGGCCAACTAGCAGCCGAAGATCTCACTTTGTATACGCAGCTCACATTCGCATGTCTTGCACACTCAAAAAATACATCATGCTGCTGCCTTCAGCGTGTAAAAAAAATTGTTTCTTCACGAAAGTGTTCAGTATTGAGGTGGCATAAGACGAGTCGCAATTCAGAATGAACAAATACGAGCCACGTGAATTTCAGTCGTGCGAGAAATAAACCTACTTGAAACTGCTGCAGAATATGCTTCGTTGCCATATTGTGGTGGCTGTGACCCTATATGTGACCGCTCTGATTGGAGGCTGTTGATGGGAGCCCAATGTGGTTTTGGTTTCATTTTTACGGGCAGGCAATTTTCAAACATGATTTATTGAAATGAGATGCGATTTGGACTTGTTTTTTTTTTTAAGTTAGAGATAAAAGATTCGTTCACACATGCAATAAGTGTATAGCTGTCATGTTTAAAAGTAATATAATGTACAGTTTGCTAAATGGTGGGCAAGTTTCTTATCAACCAGGCAACTTTGATCACGAACTAGCTGGCCAACTATTTTTTCTATTACCATCAACCCCTGCTTTTCCTTCATTTTGTTTCTCCCATTCTCTCGTTGCACGGAGGGGAACATATTTGAGGCGTGACAGTCCTGCTGTGGAAAGCTGTTGTGGTGCTTCCACTCCTTCAATGGAATGTGGAGGGGTGATTGTGCTTGTAGCTAGAAAAGTAGTCTGGCAACAAGAGTTCTGTTTGAAAAATATTGCTGAAGGAAATCCAGCTTACAGGGGTTTTAGAGCGTACACAAGGGGGCGCTCACTATTTTCAAAAGTGTCAATTTTCTTACTTTGAAAAGTGCCGAGTTGTGCTGCGGCCTGGCATAGCAAGTCTGTAACACCCGACCGACCTCCCCCTTTCTTTAAGAAAGGGAGGGGGGAGGGGTGCATGGCTGAGCGTCACTACTTACATTCTTAGTTTTTCAACTATACCACGCCCGGATTACATGACTGTTCTGTGTAACCCCCGGAAAGTCACATAATAAGGGTTCCGCAGTAATAAATTAACAAGCCAACTTATGAATCTAAGTTGGTCGATTATGCAGTTAGGTATCTTGTTCTGTAATATCTGCTGCTTTGAGGAAACGTGCGTCAAAACTACAACAGTGGTATCCTATCACAGGCTTTTTTTTTTCTTTAGTCTGTAAAGAACACTTTATAATAATGAGACTAATTATGCATGACAGGCGAATATTCGAATGCTTGAACATTTGAATTATTGTGGAGTACACAAATTTGCTTCGATTTGAATTCAAATTATTGGAAATTTCGAAGTATTCGCAATGAACGAATAGGTATTTATTAATCCACATGAAACCCCCATGTAAAGGTAGTTTCACTGGAGTGTAGGGGTGCTAAGTCGTTAAGGCACCTATCCAAAGAAAATCAGTTTTGCTGCGAAGCCCACATCAAGTTTAAAGGGGGCTCTGCAACACTTATTGAGCATGGTCAGAAAACGCTGCCGATCGGTAGTCGAGGCTACCGAGAACATTTGAGCCTAATCATATAGGGCAGCACATGACCTGCAATTCACAATAAGTTCTCAAATTCAGCTAAAAATTGCCCGCTTCTCTCGACAAATGACGCCACAAGCTCAAAAATAACTCGTCATAGCTATTGTATCAATCATTGGCTTTATTGAGCATGGGGCGCTTGGTCGTTACTGAAGCCGCTGTTACTTGTTCATGTGTACGTGTGTTATCGCACTAAAAAGCTGCCTGTTTCGAAGGTAAAAGAAAAAGTGCTCAATGTCACGAGGAGTTCGTGACGTATTTTTCTTCCCGGTGCCATCCCTTCCTGCTTAGCTTCCGGTGCTTTCGTCAGGACGAGAGAAGGGACAATGCAATCGCAGTGTGTGACAAATCTTTGCAATTTTTCTTGTGTTGAACGGATTCTAAAAATTTTTGCGGGAGGTGAATTCATGAAGCAATAAGTTTTAGTAAATCCATTTCATGGCTACTCGAAAAAGTGTTGCAGGGCCCTTTAACTGAACATATGACCCTCAAATTTATTCATCAGTCTAAGCATAAAAGCTTCTTATGCTAGTTTATATGCAATAAGTATAATATATTTTAAAACATTACGTACTTTACAGGTTATCATTTGCATCCTACTGACAGTCAAATCCTGCTACTACTCAAAGTTGTTTCGACTTCCTTTGAACGAAAAAAAGGGCATTAGCACAGAGGCCCTATTTCGATTGAAAAATATATCTATTGTGATAAATATGCCCATTTTTCATGATAAATTTTTCGTGATCATTTTTCATGCCCATTTTTCATGATATGTCATGATACATATGCCCATTTTTCTTTATATGCCATATATACTAATCGAATTCGGTTCAAACTTATTCAACCAAAACCACTATTCACTACGAATTCGATTCGAACCTAAAATTCACTATTCGCACTAGCCTAATGACAACAGCTGATTTGGGCTTCCACTGCTAATATTCAATGGAAGAGTTAAGTAGGCGATCAACGTTACGTGCATTAAGTATGAGCAGAAAATGCCAAACAGCACTGAATTTCGCCCACCGATAATCCATTGCTTTAGCTGGAAGGTTGGCTTGTGCTTGTTTCAATTCTTAAATACCTCACACTTCTGCAACCAGTCCCCAAAAACAAAACCCACATCAGTACCGGCTAAAGATGTAGTACTATAGCGCTTGATTTGTTTGACACATTGCAAGCGCACCCTTGCGGTGCAGAAACTGTGGTAACGTCGTTCGATGTTGGTGTCGCTGTTATTTTTAGAACCAGTCGAGGACCCCATGCTGTGGCGGCATGAGACGATCACCACTTCGCAAGCTTGGTGCTCAGGAGGCCAACAGCACGGCTGCTTCAAAACGGAAAGGAGAGCGTGCTGTTGGTAAGCCAGTGCTGCTTGTGTATACTCTTTCAGTGGTCAACAAAAGGACTAATCCTAAATGTGCACTGTGCTACGAAAGTTTACGGTGTACAAAGTTTTCACAAAAGTTGTAGCCCCTCTTTGTCTGGCAAAACAGCCTCCGTTTGAATGTGCCAGCCTGTATAGTAGTTATTGAAACCATAGACCTGTGTATGCATGGGAAGGGAGCCACCACCCCTAGCACTCCACTCACCGAAGAGAGTTTCAAAGTCTTCCCCTTACTTTCACTCTGTCGGACATGTCCCGTCATTGTCATCAAAGGCTCCTGTTGCTGCAATCCAAAAACTGTTTACCTTCCATGTTTACTCCCAGAAAGCCAGAAACCAAAGGCAGGTTATTGTGTGAAGTATCGCATCGCTTGTGAAGCACATTGTCTTTTGGACTGGACCAATACAGGCGGAAAGAAGGCTGCAATGATATTCCTCCCACAACCCCTCCAAGAGGGGATCCCTGCACACACCTATGATTGTGACCTATACAGTTTCCTGCAAGACCAGAAGCATTGTTTATTAGCAGAGCATTGCATTTGCAGTGTCGAGTCCACGTCATGTATACTTTTGCCAACAGGTATACATACGTATCATTGGCTTCGAATCGGGTTCTAACTAGTCAGGTTAACTCATTCTTGGTCGAAGCTTCCCTGTCCAATGGCATGTCCAGTGGCATAGCGCCGATCATGTGGCATTGCAGTACGGCTAGAGTGAGGCTCTGTAAGAAGTAGAGGGCTGTGCCATGCTGTGAGTGGTGAGGGTGGAGCTTGATGGTTGAACCAATGAGAGGCGCACCAGGAAGGGGTCGAGCGAGGCCTTGTGGAAAGAGCGAACCAATGGAAGGCACGTTAAGAGGGCTCAGCTGAGGAATCCAGCCGTTTTGCGAGAAGTAGATCAGTGAGTGTCTTGGTGGAGGGAAGGAGTACTATAATCATGGGCATTGTTTTCTTGGAGGGCGTGTTTCATGATGGCCAAGACTGCTCCCAGCAATGAAGCCGACAGATGTGAGCATCAGCGAAAGTGGACACGGGCATGTCGTTGCCGTGCCAACTGCAAGGTTTGCATATGACAGGCCGAAGCTAAGCGCCAATGAAAGGAAGATTTGAAAAACGTGGAAATACGAAAACCCGTTAAAGGAGAGGCAGTAACCTTGACTATTTCGACAGTTTCGCAAAATGGAGATGGCTGGATTTTTCTTTTTTTTGTGTGATGTGCATGTGGTTAGCTGTTCATGCACATGTGACAGCAGCACACTCGAAAATGTTTTTCAAAATGCTTCATGTCAGTCAAACCTGTTTTGCTTGGTGTTTTTGTTAGAATGAAAATTCACAGCCCAGGATTCACCAAATTTACCTATTCCTTCTGAACAAACATTTAGACTGCTTTCGTGCCTGTGATGCGTCATCCTTGCGTACACTAACGTATTTATCTATGAGTGATCAGCTATTTACATCTCTTTGGATTATTGATGAGATGTATCATCAACATGTTGATTGTCTACAAGTACCAAGAACATTATTTTAAGAGCACATTGGTTAGAACTAGTAGCAGCCTTGAAGCATGACCATTCACGGTCACTGAATGTGTTGTGGTACCTTGATGTTGAGGCTTTCAATCCACAAGTTCAGGGAGTGATGGTGGCCTGAAGAGATGAAAAATTGTCTAACAGGTAATGCTACTGGAGCCAACGTTCCAAAAAGTGGATATACTTTCATCAAAATAGCAACTGCCTCCTTTTGTATCATGTTTCAAAAACATTGCCTCAGCGACGTGCCCTGTTCAATGAATTTTGAAAACCAGGTTGGATTCCATACCAGCCTAAGCTGGTGCAGTGTGTGTTCTCAGTGACCATTTGTGTAAGCAAGGGGCTGTGGGTCCGACTATTGCGGTTGCAGAGAATGTACTAAAGATCCTGGAGCCTCACGAGACAGCCGAAGAGAAGCTGGGTGCTCTGCTCCAGCACTACCTGGGCTTCCAGGAAGGCACCTGGCAGTTGCAGGCAGCTGTGCAGAAGGCCGAGCGGCAGGTCAGTTGAATTGAGTTGGTACATATTTAAGCCGCCTATATCTTCAATAAACTATCCTGCGCAGCAGCGACTTCTCCGTGTGTCAGTTCCGCTTGATGAAACGAAGTTATGAAAGACTGCATTATGGGCAGGTGATATGTAGGCATGCACTTGCCCTCACCCTTTTTGGAACTTAATTCAGTCATGCAGCAAAGATGCCCAGAAAAGATGGCCGTTTGCAAGCGGCAGTTAAAGATTTAGGTGACTGTACGAAGTTACATTTAGGAAAGAGAGGATGATGATCAACAGATCAGCAGCCCGCGACCTGCGGGCTGCTGACCTGCAGGTCGCGGGATCGAATCCCGGCTGCAGCGGCTTCATTCTCAATGGAGGTGAAAATGCTGTTGGCCCATGCGCTCAGATTTCAATGCACGTTAAAGAACTCCAGGTGGTCGAAATTTATAGAGCCCTTCACTACGGCGTCTCTCATAATCATATGGTGGTTTTGGGACGTTGAACCACACATGTCAATCAATCAAGGAAAGAGAGGGTAAAAGGCATTAACGTCGGATGGGGTCTTCCCACTCAAAGTAACAGTTCGCTCATAGGCACTGTCATCATTAATGGAAGTGATGATGTAGATTGAAAACTTGAATAAGGAAACACAGAAAAGTAAAAGTGCAAGTGCAGTGTTGAATGTTTGTGGCCAAAAGATAAAATAAGTTCCTAGTAATGCATGAAATAGCAAATATTGTATTATTGTTGTCGATGCACATCATTATGCACAGATAAAAAGCAATATACAATGGCAGAGACGTATTGCCGAGTGATAATGCCATAAGTGCGACAAAAACTATCAACTAGGTACTGTCTGCAGTTTTGTGTAGGACGGCGGGAGAGGAGCCCTCAAGGTCAATTGGTCGATGTTTTCCATGTGTTAGGCAAGCTTGGCTTATCAAACACATACAGTGCTTGCAAACTGAAACACAACAATTTAGGGATGCTCCGTGAGCACTGTACTTGCAAGTAGTACAGTACTGATGGATTCAAATGAGCCATCTTTTTTTTTCTGATAACAACGAATATAAAGCAATTTCTTGAGAAAAGCAGGTCATTTAATCTCTAAAAGTAATGTTTGCTCTGATCAGCATATTCGATTCTAAATTGTGCTATATGCTCGGAGCTGATGACAGCGGAAATGAAAGTATGTGCATTACTTAACCCTGAATTGCCCGGTTTCAATTTATGTGTACTGTACACCTGTTTTTTCATTTCTAATACTTTGAAATTTTCTATAATTTAAATTCGAATCGAAACGAATTTGAATACATTAACATTCGTTCGAATATTTCAAGTGCCGGAATATTCGCCCAAGCCTACTAAATTCATAGGTTACAATCCGGAAGGACTATGCATACAAGGGGACCACCCTGTTAAGTGCCATATGGTTTTTCATGTGGCCCTGAAGACGGGCAGTAGCCTCAACGCAACGCCATGTGTCGGTGAGTATTGAGCAATTCAGTCTTTTTTCCCACCGCCACACGCTGCGAATCCCGCAAACTTTTGAGGTCGACAGAACTTTTCTTTGAGGATGGCATGTCAGAGACAAGTTTAGGTAGCTTGCCTGAAACAGCCCAAGGGTTAAAAATGTGTGTGCATGTGTGCAGGTGCGGCAGCTGTCGAGGGAGAAGGAGCAGCTGCAGTCTGACTGTAACCGAGCAATGCTTGCGAAAAGCAAGCTTGAAAGCCTTTGCCGCGAGCTACAGAAGCAAGCCCGGGCAGTCAAGGTGGGCTTACCTTCTGACAAGCATTTCCATCACTGTTTTGTAGGCTTGTGCGAATAGTGAATTTTCGGTTCGAAGCGAGTTTGAAGCGAATAGTGATTTCGATCGAATGATTTTGAATCGAATACTGAATGGTATGTATGATATATATAAAAAAAGGGGAATACTTATCATGACCCAACTCAGCTGCACAATATTTCTTTTGAATGTAAATAAAGGCTGTATGCAAGTGCCATTTTTTTTTCGTTCAAAGGGAGTCGAAACAACCTTGAGTAGTTGTTTCAGTAGGATGCAAGTGATAACTTGTTAGATACTTAACGTTTTATAATTTATTATACTTGGTGCGTAAAAGCCATCATAACAAGCTTAGTAAAATGAAGAATTGTATTGAGGGTAACATGTTTTTTTAAAAGAGGCCCTGCAACACTTTTTCAAGCAGCCATGGAGCCAGTAAACATGCTTGTTGCCTCACAAATTTAGCACCGCAATGTTTTCAGAATCAGTCCAGTACGAGTGGAGTTCAAAAAATTTGTCACACGCTGCAATTGCATTTTCTCTTCTCGTCTTGATGAAATAGCTGGAAGCTAAGTAGGGAGGAATGGCACGGCAAAAGAAAATGCGTCACATGCATCTCGTGACCTTGAGCATCTTTTTTTTTCTTCGAATACACGGCTTTTCTGTGCGATCGCGCATGTACTCGTGAACTAGCGGCGGCCTCCCGTGGCGTCCCTGGTAATGACGAGTGTGCAATGCTCAAATCAGCCATTGGCTGTGACCAGAGCCGTATATTCTTTCTTGACTGTTGCAAGTGATTTTTGAGCTTGTAGTGTCATTTGTTGAACGAAGAAAGCAATTTTTAGCTTTGAAAATTTATTGTGAATTACAGGCCGTGTGCTGCACTATAATATTTGCCTCGCGTGTTCTCGGTAGCCTCGACTACTGACCAGCAGCATTTTCTGATCATGCCCAGTAAGTGTTGCAGGACCCCTTCAAATTTAAAGGGAAGCTTTGCGGCAAAGTGGTTTTTTCCCGATTTCCCGAATAGGCATTTTCACGGTTTAGCATGCCTACATTGTAGTGAAATTACCTCTACAGGCGGTTACATGCATTTATTTGTTCATTGCGAATACTTCAAAAATATTTGATAATTTAAATTTGAATTGAAGCAAATTCGAATACTCGAATATTCGCACAAGCCTACTGTTTTGCACTTGCAGTGGTGGTAGACCTGTGCCAGTTGCACCAACTGGAAATTACTGCTCCGTACTGCTCCAAAATGGTCTCTTTTGTATAGTTTGCGCCATTGCCGTGCCACAATATGGTTTTGGAACCGAAAGTAATGTTGACAGCATGCATCATGAGCGGATATTACATGGTGATCGCCATCTTGTACACTTGCACTGCTGCATCAGCGTACACTTGCACCGCTGCATAAGCACAAAATTGGCTGATCAATTCTTCCGGCATCCGCACGATTGCGGCGTTGCCTTTTCTCGTTACCATTGGCAAAGAACGAAGGCGATGTAGTGACTACCAAAAAGTACGCCAGTATGACTTATTGCCGACAAAAAAAACCTACGTGTGTGGTGTAGTGCCCCGTAAAGCCTACTGCACTCTTTTAATAGCCGGCGACTACTCGAGAGCGCTGAAGCGCTGATCACTGCCATCTCAATCGTGTGGAATCGTATTCAGCATGCACTTGTTTGCAGAAACGAAAGCAGCTCGCTGTTGCGGAAACGAGCACTATGGATAGCGGGCACTGAGACAAGATGTGTAGCGCAGGCTTTTATGAGGCGACAGCCTAAACGCGCCTCTCCCGCTACCAGGGCTGCTAGAACATCGCTTGCAGGAAGCTCACATCGTCGCATTCCACATTAACTCAACAGGCTTCTCACCGCATCTGTGTGCGGTCCGAAGCGGAGCGGGCGCTAGTAGCTCGGCAAGGGGAAGTAAGGGAAGCGCTGCACGCAACTCGTTAGTAGACAATCGGCTCCCTCTGACTGTACTGAGTTTAATAAAAATTATGTCACCTTTTGCAAAACAGCAGATCACGGTACATATTTATCGCGAACAGCCAATTATGTCCATTGCGTCGCTATGCCAGTCACGTTGGCTGCGTATCTTGGGGTCTGCTGTAGTTTTGAAATGCTCTTTGGTGTTGCCACCGTATGTCATCAGACGGTCGTGCGATAATGCCAATCATTTCTGAGCATTGGCAAAAATAAAGAAATAGCTTCGTGGTGGGCACTTTAGGCAATATTTGCTGTGGCGCTTTATTTATTCCTTCTTCAGTCAGCTGTGATGGTGCACGGAAAGAAATGCAAATTGGTACTTGGTCATAGGCGTGCGCAAGGGGGAAAAGGGGGGAGTGGAGGGGGCGAGAAAGGGAGGCGTGAAGTCGGTCCTTGCAAATGTGCCTGCAGGACGAGTGTATGATGCGCATTCGGGACGAGGAGGAGAAGCGCCGAGAAGTGGCCACCAAGTTCCAGACGACCCTGATGGACATCACGGCTGTGCTGGAGGAGAACCAGGCACGCAGTGTGCAGCTGCGAGAGGAGAACTTCCAGCTGGCACAGAGGCTGAAGGGCGTCATCGACCACTACGACCTCTGGGAAAAGGCAAGTGGCTCTCGAGTTTTATAGTCTTGTTCGTGGCCTAGAGGGGACATCAAAAGTAATTCCGCTAAGCCAGCCTTCATTTACACGAAGGCACCACTCTCGCTGTGAGGAAAGGCAAGTGGTGCCACTGCTCTGAAGTTCCCGTGCAAAGTTTTATGACAGCATAGATTCTAACGATATTTAAATAATTTTTTATCTGCAAAATGAGTTATCTTGTGTTCTAGAGATGTCAGAGACTCGACATGACAACTTTCAGAAAGTTTTGCTAAGCCAGTGTGGTTCAAACATGAAAAAAAAACATTGAAATGCATGACACCTCATACTGGCATTTAATTATAGCATCTATTTTGGCATCTATTTAATTTTAGGATACAAATTCACTGTATACCCACCCCCATTTAGCTTACTATAATAAACTGATAATGATGCACAGTTAATGGTGATACAGTTATCAGTAACCTTTCAGGCTATACTGATTTACACTTAAACTTCATTATAACGAAGTTGCATGTTACATCAAAATAAGTGCGTTATATCCAAATATTCATTATAAAGGTATATCCCTATTATAGCTATTGCAAGGTTATCATTCATTTACTTTATTATAACTAATATTTAATTATATTTGGATACATTATATTGAGGCTTTAGTGTATTGCATCAGCATCCCTTTATATCATACTGACTGCGAGAAAAATTATTGCAGCTCAATCAGAAGCAGTTAGAAGAAGCTTGCCGCCCATGTGTTCATATTCATAGTTGTCATCGACAGTCGAGCATGAGCTTAGAAACTCAGGACTAGATAGGCCATAATCATTGCTGAGTACATGACATCCTCTTTGTGTGAAAAAGATCCTGGAGCAACCCCTTGACCGGAGTTGGTAAGGAGGTTATCAATGACACATACTTTGTTTCGTCTGCATGGGAGGCTTTTTTATGGCTTTTCATTTGAACCTGCCCTCGTCTAGCCACTGTATTTCTAACACTCGCTCGCCTTTTTCTTGCAGAACATCGATGCCGTTCTTCAGCAGAAGGAGTTGCAGGTGCAGGTAGCCACGACACACTTGGCCCGAGCCCAAGCACAGTTGCAAGCCGAGAGGCAGGCGTTCCTTGCCGAGAAACAAATTGTGAGAAACTGTTGCGCAGCTTTGCAGACATTGAACTAACCCAGCTTTAGTTTTAGCACTGTTCCACATCAAGGGAATCTGGAGCACTTATAGGTCGTTATTGTTGTCTACAAAGAGTGCATATGTACAAAGAAAAGCCAAAAGGGCTATTTATGACTGCTGCAGGTGTCTAGTGGTTATGGTGCTCGACCGCTGGCTCAGAAGTGGTGGAATTAAGCCTCGGCCACGGTGAATGCATTTCAATAGAGGCGAAATTCAGAAGGCCTGTGTGCTCAAATTTAGGTGCATGTTAAGAAACCCTAGGGGGCTTAAATCTCTGGAGTTCACCGCTGTGGCGTCTCTTATAGCCATATTGTCACGGGGTGAGAGTAGGCAGAGGGTAGAAATATATTCACAGATTGTACACGGAGTACACAGTGTCCTTGAACCAAGATGGCGGAGTGGCAACAACAACACGAGCTTTTGTTCAGTCGTCATCTTCGTCGCCTTTATGGTCCACTCCTTGATGTTAATGATGGCTTGTATCATATAGCTGCTGCCGGTGAAAGCGCCATCTCAGCGCTTAAGAAAGCGTGCGGTCCTGCGCAGAGAGGAACGGCTCAAGGCGGGAGACGTGTACAATATCAGTGGACGGCAGAGACAATGAGGATGGAGTGTTCAAGGGGGCGATCTCAAGGGGGACCTCGGTCAGTTGGCGCAAGACTTTGTAAGGCCCGTTGTAGCGAGCGAGGAACATGAGGACGGACCAACGTGACGGGAGGGAGTCCAGAGCAAGACCATTGATCCTGGGGAGTAAGAGACAGCTCTGTGACAGCTGATAGATTGATTGATATGAGGGGTTTAACGTTCTAAAACCACCATATGATTATGAGAGATGCGGTAGTGGAGGGCTCCGGAAATTTCGACCACTTGAGGTTCTTTAACGTGCACCTAAATCTGAGCACACGAGCCTACAACATTTCTGCATCGAAAATGCAGCCGCTGCAGCCGGGATTCGATCTCGCGACATGCGAGTCAGCAGCAGAGTACCTTAGCCACTAAACCACCGCGGTGGGGCAGCTCTGTGACAGCTGTCGTAGCGATCCTTTTGTGAGAGCCGAACGACCCAGGCGTCCAGATGGATCATTGAGGGAGGACAACCAGCACAAGGCGTGGTGATCCGTGATGACCGAAAAGTGGTGGCCAAACAAGTATGGTTGGAATTTTCCAACTGGCCGTACAAGAGCGAGGCAGTCGCGCTCAGTGATGGAAAACTTGCACTCGGATGGGGAGAGGAGGTGACTTGCATAGGCGATTACAGTCGGCTGTCGATTTTTCGGACCCTCTAGGGTGCAAAACCCATCCGAACATTCGGCAGTCCAAAAAAATGAATGCAAGCAAAAAAATGCATTATTGTACTGATAATTTTCAATGCAAGCAAAAAAAATGCACCATTTTGCTAATATTTCTCAATGCAAGCAAAAATGCACCATTTCATTGATATTTCTCGGATCAAGAGAGTCAAGGTCGATGTACCAGACTTCCAAAACCTTGCCAAAGCATCAGTGGCGTGGCTCTGAAAAGAGCCGTTAAAAAAATGCATGCAGGCGACAGCGGGTGCTGTCAAGGCAGCTGGTGTTGGAGCTGCAGTGGCTTGAAAAACTTGTTGATCCTTGTTTTGAACGGGGTTCCGCTTGCATGTGATCACATTCGCCTCGATCTGAGCAAGGGTCATGTCATGACTGTACACCAATGACAGCGTCATCAATGCTCGCATCAATTCGGTGGTCATAGGTGGCGCAGGCATTGGTTCCTCATTTTCGACATCGGAGTCATCTGAATCGGAGCGGGGGCCATCGCAGGCAAGCGAAACCCTCACGATGTGAACAAAGGAGTTTGCTGACGAGCGTCGAAACACCTAGGCTTAGCGTTGCAGAGCACACTTCACACGATCGCACAACCACGCACTAGGCTAGCCAAACACCATGTTGGCTGCGTAAACAAAACGACGCGATGGCAGGCGACGTTGCCTCGTGTACTTTGAAGGTAGCGCTGGTAAACATTCAAGATAGCCAGCGTGGCCAGACCAAATCGGTGTGTGACGGTTAGTTCTAGTTCGAAATGATGAAACGCTCCACGAAAGGAACTTTATTGGCGCCAAAAAATTTCCGGGTGGATAGTTTCGATTATCAGCAAAGCACCCTTGCACGATAAACACGGCCAGTGTTAGGAATCTCGGAGGCCGTGTGTGTTTCTCTGCTAACGATCACTCAGTCTAAGCAACAGACGCTGCTACAGTAGACCAGCACGCTCATTTATGCGATCGTAATCGCGTGTGACGCAGTTGTAGTGGTTTCCACTGGAGGTCAGTGGTGGTTTCCGACCTTCCGTCGCATCAAAAAGTCAGGAAAATTGGACTTCGGGGGGTTCGAGCGTCCGAAATTTCAGACTTCCTTATACATTGATTCTATGGGGCTCGTGGCGGTGCCGCGAATATGTCTGTATTATCGAGCATGTCCGAAAATTCGAGTGTTCGAAAAATCGGCAGTTGACCGTACATGATTTCGATCCTCTTGCCGCTGAGCGAGGACAGCGCTAGTACCGTGTCCGCTAGCAACGGTGCAAACTTCAGTTGGTGGTGAAGGATCGAAATGACCCAAAATGGGCGGTGAAGTGAGCAACGCGGTAAGTCGGCAAAACGAATTGGCTTGCTGGGGACCCCAAGAAAATGGCGTATCCTTCTTCAGGAGCTGTATCAAGGGATGGGCAATGTCTGCGAAGTTGTGGACGAAACGCTGGAAATAGGAACAGTGGCCGACAAAGCTCTGTACATTTTTCGTGGAACGTGGTGTGGGGAAATCTTTGACGACGCGAATTTATTCAAGATCGGGTTGTACGCCTTGAGCGCCGACAAGATGGCCTAGCACAGCGATTGTGTGGCGGCCGAAACGGCATTTGGAGGATTTTAGCTGTAAGCATGCTCTTCTGAAAACTTCCTGAACAGCTGACAGGCGGCTAAGGTGACTTTCAAATGACAGCGCGAATACAATGATGTCATTAAGATAACAGAGGCACGTTGACCATTTGTGACCCCGTAGCGGGGAGTCCATCATTCTCTCAAATGTAGCGAAAGCATTGCATAAGCCAAAGGGCATTGCCTTAAACTGGAAAAGTCTATCTGGTGTAACAAATGCAGTCTTTTCACGGTCTAATTCGTAGACGGAAATCTGCCAGTATTCTGAACGCAGGTCGATTGAGGAGAAGTAGGCAGACCCGTGCAGGCAGTCGAGGGCATTGTCAATCCGTGGCAGTGGATAGACGTCTTTGCGCGTGACCTTGTTTAAGTGACGGTAGTTCACACAGAAATGCCAGCTACAATTCTTTTTTTTTAATAGAACGGCTGGTGAGGCCCATGGACTGCAAGATGGTTCAATGACGTCTTTTGAGAGCATTTTATCAACTTCACGCTAGATGACTTGTCGCTCTGTATGTGACACGCGATGAGGACGTTGTCGGATTGGGCTGGCGTCTCCAGTGTTGATCCTGTGAGTAACAACTGACATCTGACCTATAGGGCTGTCACCAAAGTCGAAGATGTCCCTGAAGGATGCCAAGATATGCCGGAGATCGGCTGCCTGTGCTGCAATGAGGTCTGGCGCGATCGATCGTGTCGTCAAAGTCGGCATCAGTGGATGCAGTAGCGGGCGAAGGAGTGTCTGCAATGAATGCAGAAACAGAATGTTCACTGATGGAAAGAGACGATGGCTAGAGTCATGGCAACCGGAACAACTTGAGCGCACCAGCTGAAGTTTAGCATCGGTAGCGACGTCACATTATTCGTAATGGTCAACAGAGTATAACACGTCCGAAATCGGTGCCAGCACATAATCGCCGTCGGGTACTGGAGGAAAAGACCTCATTGTCTCATGGTTACTTAGGTAACGGTGTGGGGCGCTAGGCAAACATACTCGACAGAACACAAACGTGGTTGAGGTGTAGTTGGAGTGTCATCGCAATAAGGTAGGCCAAGCTGAAGCAAGCCTATTATATAGTCAAACAAGGCAGAGTGCATGACAAGGAAGTCCATGCCCATGTTCATGAGAGCACTTCTTGAGCACGGTGAGAAGCACAGTTGTGGAGCGGTCAGCAACACTAACACGTGCGGAGCCCATTCCAAGCCCAGTAAAAGTTCCACCGTCGGCGACTTGGATGAGCGGCACTGTGGGCGGTGTTAAAACCTTTTTAAGGAGGCGGCGAAGCTCCGAGCTCTTTATCGAAATGTGGAACCTTGTGTCTACAAGGGCAACAACAAGTGCATCGTCTACTTTAACGTCTATGAGGTTGCGTCGTGTCGGCATAGCAAGAGGATTTGCTAGCGAATCGTTGATGCAGCATCACTTCTGGGAGCTGCATCGTCTAGTTTTTCCGATCCAGGTGTGCAGTCGGTGAAGGAGGATGGCGAAATTGGGGTGAGCGCAACGATGGGCGACGAGACAGCGCTGAGCGGGACTGGTGGCCGGGAGGGGATGGTGACCAACAATGCACCATCGATGAACTGTCACCACCGGCTGGCCGAGGTGACTTGTGGCGAGTTCCGAAGTGGCCATCATCTGCCTCTGTGCGACGGTTGTAGCCATAGGAAGGCTGACGCCAATACCACCTGCTATTGCAATAGCGGGCCACGTGACCGATACGGTGGCAGTTAAAGCAAATGGGTTGGTCATCAGCAGTCCTCCACTCAGCGAGATTGCGAGAGCGCGCTGGGAGCCTCTAGCCTTGGGCGTAGGAAACTTGCGGACGACGGTCGGTCGGCAGGGGGCGGCGGTGCACACATATTCCAGGCCAACGTTCGAATGCTCTTGGCGAACGATGGCATGCACTAAAGGCACCGTTTGAGAACTGGACTCACAGGCACAAGAGAAAGTTGAAGTAGGAGACATAGCTTCAAATTCTCGACGGATAATCTTCATGACGTGCTCTGCAGTCAGCGGTGCCTGTGGTACAAGCATGTCTTCGCATGACCATGTTGCTACGGTGTTGGGAAGTCGAGCGAACTGTTGCGAAAAACGTCGGCTTTTGGCGGCCTCAAAACGCTGGAACTCTCGGATAATGGCATCTATTGTGTCACAGTCCTTGCAAAATAGCAAATGGAATGCGCCATAGGCAATGCTTTTGAATATGTGCGCTACTTTCTCGGACTCCTCCATGCCGTCGTCTGCTTTGCGGCAAAGGGCGAGCACGTCATGTATGTAAGACAGGTACGACTCCGATAAAGTTTGAGCGAGATATGCCAGCTCCTTCTTGGCCGCTGTCTTCCTGCCAGTCGATTTGCCGAACAGCGCATGCATGTTTTCTTTGCGCGCATCCCAGCTGCCAATTTCCGCTTCGTGGTTCTCAAACCACTCTTAGGCTGTCCCCTTCGCCAGCATGAGCGTCTCGTCCCAGCGATAATTCCTGCTTGTTTGCTCGTACAGCGGCAACCATTCTTCAATGTCGACATTGTCGGTCCAGCAGAACGCGCCAGGGTCTTTCAGCTGAGGCAATACAGCTGTCGTCGTTGCGGTGGCCGCTGCGGGAGCTGGAGCCGGACCTTCTTGTGCCATCGTGGAAGAAACCAAGTGTTGGCCGCTGTGTAGCTCCGTTATACTGTCTTGTTACACCGCACCACCACCAAAATGTCAAGGGTTGAGAGTAGGCAGAGGGTAGAAATATATTTACAGATTGTACACAAAATACACAGTGTCCTTGAACCAAGATGGCAGAGTGGCAACAACAACACGAGCTTTTGTTCAATCGTCATCTTCGTCGCCTTTATGGTCCATTCCTTGATGTTAATGATGGCTTGTATCAATATTATTGTTCTGTGATGTAAAACTTCAACAGTTATTATTAATACAAAAGAGGTCTAACTAATATTGAGAGATTGGTTGGCTAGACATGTGGATGAATGGTTCAAAGTAAGTTAGTGCTGTCCTGTGCTCTTCTCAACCTCTCCGCACTTTCCTACGCAAGAGGATCAATAGCGTCTGTTAAACTCGGACGCCTTTTCCATCAATGTTTCTTACTGTAGAGCTTAGGCATGTATGATAAACCAAATGCAGTGGAACCTCTTTACAATAAAAGCTTTTGTCGATGGCATATTTTGGAGGTAGTAACTCGACGGACAAGACTCATTTGTAGAACTATTTTTTTTCTCTTGCGGCGAGCAGGTGCTGAAGCAGGTGAGCGACTCCCAGAGGCAGCAGGAGGAGCTGGCAGCGCGAGAGTCACACTTGCGGGAGGAGCTGTCGTCTCACGCCAGCAAGTACGAGGAGTTCCAGGGGGCCTTGGTGCAGAGCAATCAGCTGTTCCGCTCTTTCAAGCAAGACATGGAGAAGGTAACGCTGCCTCAGAGGCTGTAGTTGACATTGCTTGTAATTCTTATTGCATCTGTACCGCTTGCTGGCATTGAGCACAGCACGGTACGCTTGATTCCCTATTATGGTGACTGTGTTAAGGTGTGCCATTTTTGTTCGGTGTTTATTAGTTACGAGAAGCAGTGTGTGCCACAGCTCACAAACATTTAACATCACTGGACGGCCACAGATCACTGAGCGAGTCCTACTAGTGCAAAAAATAGCTATCTATGAGTCATATGACTGAGGCTTTTTATTTCCTTCTCAATCATAGTAATTCACTAGTCTTTGTGAACAGGAGGGCTAAACTGTCATGAAAATTTGACCAACTACCTGTAATTTTTCTCATGCAAACTGGAAAAAAAAGAATATAACTTCAGAAACTACTGTAACACATAGCGCTCAAAAGCAGTGGTGCTTCTGGTGATGTAATTGTCAAAAACAATTACAGTAGAGTCTCAATGATACGTTCCTGCTTAATAGGATGTCCCGGCTCCTGCGCTTGAAATCGCGAGAACTCTAAACGCCCCCATAGCGCTATGTGTTGATACGTTCCGCTTAATACGTTTCCGTGAAATACGATTGAGATTGTCACGGAGGTGGTGTGGGGCGACGCAGTGAAGGAGGTGGAGAACAACGTACTGGAACACAGCATCAAACACGAAACCGGGTGCCGACCAACTTCGCCAAAGCCCCTGCTGGACTGGAAGCATTACTACGCGTGTTTCGCACGAAAAACAATGAACATGCGGACAAAGGTCGACAATGTGCACAGAAGGAGCTTTTGTTGTCCAAGGTTGAGGCAGCAGCTGGAAATTACTGTTTTTAGTAATAAATTCTTTTTGCCCTTACACGTCTATATGCACTTGCCAGCCTTAATTTTCGCTGCATTAGAATCGTACGTTTTCTCGGATGGTACGTTTACCTTCCGTACTTTTTTTTCAAAACGTATCAACGAGGTTCTACTCTATTCAAAAGAATGATGCACTATTCAAGTTTGCTTCAAATTTAACTTATTAAAAATTTTGAATTATTCGAAACGAACCAATAAAGGCATATTAGTCTGCATGTGACATCTTGTAAAAGTGGTTTCACTGCAGTTGAGTGAGGCTAGGCTGTGACGGCACCTTTCCAGGTGTATATTCGCATGTAAGCATCCTTGAAAAGTAAGCTTACTGCAGTTAGGCGGTGCTAAGGCATGAAAACTAGTAACAAGGGGAAATCCGCATTGCTGCAAAGTCCTATTTTACTATTAAATGAGGATATCACCCTCACATAAATTCATTTTTTATGTTTAACAGCTTGTTATACCAACTTATATGCTTCAAGAATAGCAAATTTTAAAAATTAACATATTTTACATGTGGTCGTTTGCATTCTACTGAAAGTCAAATTATGCTACTATTCAAACTTGTTTTCACTTCCCTTTGAGCAAGCCCCGCCGCGGTGGTTTAGTGGCTAAGGTACTCGGCTGCTGATCCACAGGTATCGTGGTATCGAATCCGGGCTGCGGCGGCTGCATTTCCAATGGAAATGGAAATGGTGTAGGACTGTGTGCTCAAATTTGGGTGCACGTTAAAGATTCCCAGGTGGTCAAAATTTCCAGACTCCTCCACTGCACTGTCTCTCATAATCATATGGGGGTTTTGCGACGTTAAACCCCACATATCAATCAACCAATCACTTTGAGCAAAAAAAAAAAAAGGTATGTACAGTCGCCGACCGATTTTTCGGACCTGGCGGGGACCGAAAAAAAGTACGAAAAATCGAACAGTCCGAAAAATTCGTTTTCGCCAAAAATCTGAAGTTTATTGCATCAGGCAGGTTTAAAAAAGTCCTTGATGCTGCCTTGCCTCAAACTACGCTTGGAGGCAATTTGGTTAGCCCGTATTTGCGCCAAGGTGACATCGTCGCTGTAAACGCTCGACAAAATTGCCACCGTGTTGGCGACCTCCGACGGCTGCGTGAGGTCGTCGTTGTCATTCGACGACAACCACGACCGCCATCCGGCGTCGACCGTCATCCAGCGACATCTAGCTGCGAACGTCCACTCTCTATTAGCTTGATTATGGCAGCTTTCTTCTCCATCGTCAGGGTCGTATACTTCCCACGCTTCTTCACACCACCCGGCTCCCGCGATGGCACAGATAGCGGAGCCATGGCACCGAGAACACAAAATTCGATGCCGCAGATAGCCGCTGCGAAGCACACAACGTCTCGACGCTACGCGACACAACACGTGCAGAATGGCGACTGAAAAAAGCTGCAACGACAATAAAAGAATCCTCCTTTCGCCTCCTCCCCGTGCGATGTGATGACGATAGTGCTGACCGAAAACGAAAAAACGGCATCCATCACCGCGTCTTTTAAAAAGCAAACACGGCCTCCGAAACTTAAAATATGGCGTGCGCATTCCAATCTCGGAGGCAGGAAAGGCATCTGAAGACCAAGCTTAGCCAAGCCGACAGAAAATCCAACATGGCGGCGTTCACAATGGCTTGGGGCGTGGCACAAAACGAGCGATTTAGTCCGAAAAATCGAGCTTTCAGGGGCAAATTCGCCCGAAAAATCGGTCGAAACAATGCATTAGCTCTATGGGATCCCTGACGGTGCATTTATGAAGTCCGGAATATCCAACAAGTCCGAATTTTTGGAGTCCGGAAAATCGGTCGGCGACTGTACACAGGTTTTGTTTCAATTGTAAAAAAATATTGTGCAGGTTCGTTAGGACAGCACAAGGAGGTCCATTTTTCATTGTGATGAGCAACAGAGATTTTTCCTTAAAAAACTATAATAGGTAGGCACTTGTTGTCTCTGCAGCCAATTTCTAGGTCAAAGCGGAAAGATTCTGCACTAACTAGACCAATTTGGAATGATTACTTGATGAAGATAATTGAATTAACATTTTTATTATCAATTTCAGGGAAGTTGTGTATATGGTGAAGTTGTTCTACGTCACAAATTATGGCAAACATAATTTTTAAAAATTGAAAATATTACGCGTGGATCCACAGATCCATCGTTGAATGTCCAGACCGCAGTGCCAAAGAAACCAAATTAATGTGCCGCATGCGCCGAAACTTGAGCACTCAGTGCGTTGGTTTCGGTTTCTCCGGCACTGTGGTCTGGAAATTGCGGTGCGCTAGGGTACTCACATGTGTGCTCTTCCCTTGTTTTAGAGGCAAGCATTTGGATTAGGGACCCCTTCAACTTCTGCTCTACTGCATGGAACTTGATTTGAAAAAGTTTACAAATATTGGGTGCAGCGAAATCATGTATTCTCTGATATCAGCAGACTTTACCATATATTCGCTCGGTATTTATCTGTGGCAGCAGTGAAACTTGATATGTACAGAGGTTAAAGTTACGTGGCGTTCTGTGCCGATCACATTATAAAACATTAAATATTTCGCTATATAAAGGTTTCACTGTATTGCAATTCAGCTGTGACACTTAACTTCGTGATCGTATAGAAAGAACTGTCCTCGAGTGATATCCATGGTGGAGCATAGCAATGCCCCGAGCCGAGGCATTTTTGAGGGCATTTATACAGCTGTGGCATTGTTACACAGTTCTAAGCGAAATAACTGCCAAGCTTCACCACTAGGCTGAGAGAGGGTGCCACCACACCATCGTTAATTCATCATCATCATCAGCCTGACTACGTCCACTGCAGAACAAAAGCCTTTCCCTTGTTCCGGCAGTCAACTCGGTCCTGTGCTTCCTGCTGCCACTATACCCACAAACATCCCATTATCATCTGCCCACCTAACTTTCTGTCTCCCACTAACTCGCTAGCCTTTTCTGGGAATCCAGTCTGTTACCCTTAATGACCAGCGGTTACCCTGGCTACGTGCTACATGCCTGGCCCATGTCCATTTCCTCTTCTTGAATTCAACTATGATATCCTAAACCCCGGTTTGTTCTCTGATCCACTCTGCTCTCTTCTTGTCTCTTAAGGTTACTCCTACCATTTTCCTTTCCATTGCTCGATGTGTCATCCTCAATTTAAGCTGAACCCTTTTTGTAAGTCTCCAGGTTTCTGCTTCATAGCTAAGTACCGGCAAGATGCAGCTGTTATATACCTTTCTCTTGAGGGATAGTGGCAATCTACCAATCATGATTTGAGAGTGCTTGCCATATGTGCTCCACCCCATTCTTATTCTCCTAGTTACTTCAATCTAGTGGTTCGGCTTCGCAATTATTACCTGTCTTAAGTCGACATACTAGTCTTTTACAACTTCAAGTGTCTTATTACCTATCTCGAAGTGCTGTTTTCTCCCGAGGTTGTTGTAGGTGACGTTTGTTTTCTGCATATTAATTTTAATACCTACCTTCTTGTTCTCCTTGTCTAACTCTGTAATCATGAGTTGGAATCCGTCCCCCGAGTCACTGAGCAGTGCAATGTAATCGGTGAAGTGCAGGTTACTAAGGCGCTCTTCATTAACTCTTATCCCTAACTGTTCCAATTCTAGGCCTCTGAAAACCGCCTGTAAGCACGCGGTAGATAGCATTGGGGAGATTGTATCCCCATGCCTTACACCCTTCTCATCGTTAATTAGCTGCCCAAAATTTTTTTGTCCATTTGTTTCTTGCAGATGTCCAAAAAGATCAAGAAGTTGGAGAAGGAAACTGCACAGTGGAAGTCGCGTTGGGAAGCAAGCAATAAGGCGCTTGCAGACATCACGGCAGAAGTGAGCCTACAGTCTAAAATCTTCCCGCTTTTTTGTTGTGCAAAAGACAGATATTTGCATGTAAATCTATCTTGTGGCTCGACGGTCTTGCCTGTTAGTCCCCTTTGTTTAAGGGTTGACTTCTGAGCACATTTTTTTCCTATAGTATTGGAGTTCTTTATCACAATCGCTGTGGAAAGTTTTCTTGGTGTCTCATTTTATGGGCGGAGTGACTCTACATTCCTTCCAGGAATGCCGTGACTCGCCGGTTAATCATGGCATCTAACACAAAAAAAAATTTCTTCTGATTAGTGTTGATAATCTCTTGCAACAAGAATTGTACCTCTGTTGATGAAGTTATCAAATCAGCGAGCAGATACACGCCCATAACATCACGGCCACTTAAGAGAAGCGCAGGCTGGGACATGATTTTGATACACTCTAAAAGGAACATTCTTTTTGTTTCCATGGTGTACAATATCAATGCTCTCTCCACATCAGAGCCAGACGGCACACATTAAGTATCCTACGTTTATATTAAAGTTTTCATCCTCTAGTATCTTTAAGCTGGCCCCGCTGCAATTGGAAATATCACGACAAGTCAATACAGTGCAATGGGTTTGCAAACTCTGTGAACTCTTACTTAGACATGCAGTCTAAATCGCAGAAAGGGCTGTAGAAGTAGCGAAACAACAATTTTCTCGTCGCTGTTTCCATGAACCACGTGAAAGTGACAGCAAATAACAGAGCTTTGCTAGTACGATACAAGTTGCTGTCACCATGGAGTTTCCTATAAATACACTAGAGGGAACTCTGGTGCTAGTGTCTATGGTAACTGCAACACACGGCGCTTCTGCGAGTGTGGGAAAGATGGGTAGTACATGGACTTGTCTAATTTTCGTACTTTCAGCTTCACTTGGCTTTGCATGGCTTGGAGCTGTTTTCTCACGAAACAAAAATCAGCAAATGTTTAGCAGTTGCACTTCACTTAGGCTTGCCAATTGAAATTGGGTCGTTAAGTTTATAATGGTCCGTTGTTTCATTTGAAACAAAACCAATATACATCAATAAAGGAAGCCACAATTGCGTTCGATGCCTGCAAGCACAAAGACTAGGCAAATATCTGTGTACTACCCGTTATTCCTATGGTCGCTGAATGATCGCAGCGCCAGAGTCCTCTCTAGTTAATTTTAGGAAACTCCATGACTGTCACCTCGTGATGTCAGACTGTGAATATACGTCACTGCGAAACTGCTCTCTCGATACTGTAATTGAAAGTGCTTTTGATGGAAGCAGTGGTGCATGCCTAGCACTATGACACTCCTTTAAGTGTTCGTGACACTCGTGTTTTTATTTTGAGCAAGCAGTGAAAATTAAAATTGATGCCAGTACTTTTTCAAAGCTAGAGCTATCTTCAGGCTGCTTACTATCTGACTTTTGCCATGAAAAGCTGTATTGCCCCATTGTAAAACCACATATTCCTCAACATACTACTATCAAAGAAAAATTTAGGAAGCACTGGTAATAGCCTCAAATTCATGTGTTACACCTGTTGTTGCCTTCATAAATATTTTCAAAGCAGTTATTGTTTATAAGTCTTATACAGTGGGCTCTCATTTAATGGCACCTGAAGGGGCCAGGAAAATAAGCTTCATTTAACAGAAGTTCCGCTCACTGAGAAATGAACAGGGGTGCAGAGTCGAAACATGAAACCTATCGTATCGGAAGCATCTGTTCCATTGAAGCAGCAGTTCTGTTGAACAGATCTGCGCTTGCAGAGTCTGCTGTAATTTATAGTAGGTTTGGATGTAGAAATCACAGTACCAAAAGCAAGAGAGCCGTTTTTCATTACATGCGCACTTGTCATTTTGACGTGGACAGAAACACGGCCGAGACAAGGAACTGGTGGCTGCCCAACAGCGGGTCATAACCCTGGAGAAGCTCTGCCGTGCACTGCAGCTCGAAAGAAACGAGCTCAGCGCGAAGGTCAAGGCACTTGGGGTCGACGCTGGCGCAGGTACATCTGTAGTTAGGCCTTTCAATGGGCAGAGAAGCAGTTTCATTAATGTACACCCTCCAGTTGGCCAAAATTTAAAAAAAAAGGGGGGGGAGGGAGAGGGGCTGTGTACTAACTTGTAAAAGACTGCAGCAGTGTAAATAGACACTGCGTTGCACTTCGAATTGCTTGTGTCATGCCAAAGACACATTCTCCCGTGCTGTCACCGGAGTGCTGTGAAATAGCATTTTGCAATATTTTTTTTATTTTAAGGCAAGCTGTCGCATCAAATAAATTTGTGCACAACGCTTCAAGGCAACCCCAGGGGCTACAGTTGAGCTTTATTTTGTTGAACAGAGTGCCAACCTTAGAATAGTTCATTAATGTGAAAATTCATTTGAAATTTATTCACCAGACTGCTCAATAATTACTCAAATATACGCATCTAAAGCTTACGCACAACAAACCCAGGCAGCAGATTGTGAAGGAATTGAAGCTAGCAGGAATCAGCATGGGCCCAAATGACAGATTGCCAATGTCGCTACACAACCAGAAACATAGAGCCATTGATACACATCATCCATGCCTTGAGACGGGGCATTAACCGCCAAGTGTACAGAAATTGCAAACTTGTTTCTAGTTGGGAAAATAATTAGTGAAGGATGACCATTTGAACAAACAAGGGTGGTGTTCTCAATTTCTCTCTTTGACATGAACAACTTTTGTAAAATGCCTTGCCACTCATCATGAGGTGTGGTGTCGGCATGTACAACTGTGATATAGTAGTGCTAACGTGTTGTGTGCAAGATTCTCTGAACTGTAAACATGTTTTGTATTGACTAATCTGGGTTTCATGAAATTTTCACAAACTGAGCGCATTTCCAAAACGACAGTCTCGGGTGACTGCTTCAGTTAGGCACTGCAATTGGTTGCAGGCATTTTTGCATATAGTTGTCATTAGTGGCTTTTAGTGGTTTTGCATATGTCAACATGTTCAGTTGGTCAGTGATTCCAACCACAAGGTATTGTGGTAGCCAAACATGTGCACAAAAGCAGTTCATTAGAAACATGGGCCCAGCTATTGACGTGTGGATTTGCCCATTTTGAATGACATTTAGCTTCAGCTCATATCCTTTGCCTCTTTCTCTCTTTTTCAGAAGACTCGGGCCCTGTGGAAGTTGTGAATGAGTCAACAGAAGGCTAATGCATTTAGTCGGGAAGCATAGAAGTACAAAGCTGATGCAGGCCTTATCTTCAGTCTTCTGTTACTTTTCGTTAATTCTAGCTATCATACAAAAAAAATATGTAAGGATATTGAGCGCTGCAGTCAGGGATCGACTACACAAAATGTGGCAGCGTACTTTCAGCCCCACGCACACTATTTAAGTATCGCACAATCGAAAGATTAGCAAAGCACGAGGATTTCTGGAAAAGAAATTAAATGTGTGCCTGTGATACAGGTGTTTAAAAAAAACAATGCAGTGTTGTCTGATTGTGGCCCCGCCATGGTGGTCTAGTGGCTAAGGTACTCGGCTGCTGACCCGCAGGTCGCGGGTTCGAATCCCGGCTGCGGCGGCTGCATTTCCGATGGAGGCGAAAATGTTGTAGGCCCGTGTGCTCAGATTTGCGTGCACGTTAAAGAACCCCAGGTGGTCGAAATTTCCGGAGCCCTCCACTACGGCGTTTCTCATAATCATATGGTGGTTTTGGGACGTTAAACCCCACATATCAATCAATTGTCTGATTGTGTATTTCAAGGTTAAAAGTGCCTCTAGGTGTTGGATACAATTTTCTAAAGGACTGCACTAGGCTTGCACCTTCCAAAGATCACAGCTGCATAGGTCGCTCGTGGCAATCGTCCCTGCAAAGCACGTAACATTGTGATGCACCCCCTGCAGTGGTCTAGTGGCTAAGGTACTCGGCTGCTGAGCCGCAGGTCGCGGGATTGAATCCCAGCTGCGACGGCTGCATTTTTGATGGAGGCAGAAATGTAGGCCCATGTGCTCAGATTTGGGCGCATGTTATAAAGAAACCCAAGTGGTCGAAATTTCCGGAGCCCTCCACTACGGCATCTCTCATAATCATATGGTGGTTTTGGGACGTTAAACCCCACATATCGATCAATCAATCAACATTGTGATTCATGAACGGTTGAATCTTCATACGGAAGAGTTTTCAAGGAAACAGCAGTTCAAGTGCGAATGCACGTTGCTTGCATGACCGCCCTTTATGCAGTCCCATGCACGGGTTTGCATGTATGCATATACAGTAAAACTTCATTAATACGGATTTCACGGGACAGGAAAAAATGTCCAAATTATCCGAATGCTGAGCTATGGAAAGTATAAAGAAAACCACACGCAGCTATCTGTTTAGCAAAACGTGAAATTCGGCAAGATGGTGCATAGGTGGTGACACTCTTGAGCCCCAAAAAACAGCACTCACAATTTCTGTCTTTGCATTCTTGTCAATGTTGTTATTGCATGTTCAAAATTCTCATCCGGTATCTGTAAACTCAGTATACGTCAATTTTCTTGATGAGAAGCACGACCATAAAATTGACTTAGACGGCGCTTCTGTTATTGAAACAGAACGGAATTTGGGAAAGAGGCTCTTGCTCGAGTCTTGGCACATTCAGCATACGCCTGCCAACGTGAACCGCTCGCTGGGAACAATGCCTTCGGTGTACGTTCACGGTCTCCGAAACGTGGTGGAAAGGGAAAGCCGGAGCCGTGGTGGGAGAACACGACGCGAGGACACTTCCATGACCAAGACAGTCACCCCCTGAGGAAGGGACCGAGTCGGTCCCGAAACGTCAGGCTCTTTTTGAACTGTGGCTGGAGCAATTTCAATTTTCTAAACTTTTCAACTTTTCTACCCAGCCAGACAGATTGCTGTCAAAATGTTTACGTTTAAGTTTGATGAATCCTGTACTTAATTTTTTGTGTAAGAGCTGTGTAAAAGCTGCAATTTTCGTCATCCTGCAACTTTGTTCTCAATGCAACCAAGGTGCCAAGCTCCCACTTTGCAGGAGAGCTGTTAGGGTTCAAGTTTGCTGTGTGTCATAGATAGAAAACCATCACCAACCGGCACAAGCTCTTTGTCCTCTTTTTCATTGCCTGCATTGCTACCAGACCATACGTGCTTATTTGTCCGGCGTGCCATGAAATAACTGATAGGCAAGAAACGTGTAGAAAGACAGTGTTTTTTATGAAAAAAATTTCTTCGTCGATCGAGATTTGAACCCACACCCCTACGAACCAAAGGCGAGCGTCGTAACCACTAGGTTATCCAGGTACGCTAGCAGAGCATAGCATTGCGTGGTATACTAGAACAGTCTAACCAGGGTGCGGTCGAGATACTCGGAAAGCTATTCTGGAATACAGATAATGAAATACATGCTTTGGAAGCCTGAATCCGCCTTTTCCATTTTCCTGTGTTGCCCTCTGGCGTTTTGGTATGGTTTGGTTGGGGCTGGGAGAACTGGCATTGCTAGAATGAGGGCCTCAGAGACCGGGAGGCGTTTAGCGACTGTTTTGCTTGGGAACAGCGTATGTGCCGCATTGTCGTGGAAAAGGCAGATTAAATATACTAAGATACACTTGCTCTAGAATACAAATACCGAAATACTTTTCACTTCGGGGGCATGTCGGCACGTCATTGCTTCATTTGTGCTTTTGGATACCTTACTAAGCTTTTGTTCTGAATGTCCAATGGAGTAAAGGGGCTGCGGCGACAGTTCGTCTATTTGACCACCCTGCTCATGCCTGTGATTTCAGAGCTGTTGAATTGATCATTCAGTGCCTAGCTACAGCTTGAACTAAACAGGGAGAAGAGCATTCCCCGTCTCTAGGAGATCTTACATCTACGAAGGCTGCAGGCGTCGGGTCTATTTCTGGTCTATGTATAATCCCACGGCAGCTCGAACAAGCATTTGCTTTGCGCTTCTTTTCCGTTTTTATTGATAAGAAGGACTAGGTGTATATCATAAGGAAGAAATACCAACTCACAAGACTATTATGCAGTCCAAGATTCAGCTGCTGTTGTAGTGAAAGCACTCAGCACCAAAGCAATCGCTTGGGTTTTACAAAGTGCTTAACAGCGCAAACGACTGTTCTCGTCTTTTCTATCCCCTCCTGTCGTTTGCGCTGTTGAGCACTTCCTTCGTCTACCATGCAGTACCAACCAGCCCAATCAAGCACCTTGTTAAAGGGTTTAACAAGATTGCAAGTGCGGTAATAGGAACTACATTGTAACTACTTTGCAGCATTCCACTTTTGTGCATCTTTATAGTACTGATACAAAATTTTAAAGGGGAGATAGCTTGTGGGACAGATTTGTGTATACGCACAAGCATCATCTACAAATTCTTAATAACAGATAATATAGTTTAGAACGTACTTGAAGTAAATCTTAAAGTGTGCATTATGCAACTGCATGCGAAACGCTCCACTTCACGGCATTTACACCAATATGTTTTCAACATAAGCAACCACACCCACCTACACTTGCAAGTTCCTGTTGGTTTCTATGTTTATTGTGAGCATTTTCTCCTGGCAGACCTTCTCAATGCAAACAGGGAGCATCTTGGACTTGTACGGGAATATGTTCTTGCCTCAGCAGTGCATTTTTGATGGATCACACATATTTACCATACCCCCGGAGGTGATTATAGCAGAACTCTGGGAGTCTTGGTGCTCCGCCACGGTGGTCTAGTGGCTAAGGTACTCGGCTGCTGACCCGCAGGTCGCGGGTTCGAATCCTGGCTGCGGCGGTTGCATATCCGATGGAGGCGGAAATGTTGTAGGCCCGTGTGCTCATATTTGGGTGCACGTTAAGGAACCCCAGGTGGTCGAAATTTCCGGAGCCCTCCACTGTGACGTCTCTCATAATCATATGGTGGTTTTGGGATGTTAAACCCCACATATCAATCAATGGGAGTCTTGGTTGAAAATAGTTGATTTGATTTGTGGGGTTTAACGTCCCAAAACCACCATTTGATTATAGAGACGCCGTAGTGGAGGGCTCCGGAAATTTTGACCACCTGGGGTTCTTTAACGTGGACCCAAATCTGAGTACACGGGCCTACAACATTTCCGCCTCCATCAGAAATGCAACCGCCGCAGCCGGGAATCGAACCCGCGACCTGCGGGTCAGCAGCCGAGTACCTTAGTCACAAGACCACCGCGGCGGGGCAAATTGAAAATAGTTAACACAGTGCTCAAAGGCACACAGTTTACATAGAAGTTAACCATATTTACGTGAAAACCATTGTGGGTACTGCCTCACTTGGCACACTCTGAAACTTAAACCGAGCAAATGAGGTTTCCATCCGATTTGTGGGTTGTCGCCTACTTATTGCAACAGAAAATACAAGATAAAATTTTTGTTGGTCCTTCTGCAAAAGCTTTATTTTTACCTAATGTGTCTGCCATGGTTTCCCTGCCACTGAGCTAAGTGTATGGGCTGACAGGCTTTAAAGGCTATAACAGTACTCCAGGGGGGTTGCCTGCTACTGTTCCCAAATGGCTTTTCAAGTTTTCAATCATGGCTGTGATGGCCACAGGCGTTGGCAGAGGGTGCGAAAGGGGAACTTGCTCCCTCCCCTCAACTACCCACTGTAATAACGCAGGTTTTCATCACCAAGACAAAATCATTCTGATGCTCATGGTGGTGGCTGTGTTTTAATGGGGCTGAAGTGCAGATAGGCTCTGTGCACATTGAACACAGACACAACTGTGCTCTGGCTTGCTTATATTTTTGCTTGAAAACATTGCTCATAACATTTTTGTCTAGAATATTCTTCGACTGAGCATGCACACCAGTTGTGAGGAACTCCCTCTCATACTACATGCTGATGAATGTGCACCTGTCTCTTTCTGGTTCTCTCCTCCTCTAGTGAGAGCGTGGTGTTGGCGACGCCACCTGTTTGAATGCTGGCAGTATCTTGAAACCTGGTCTGTACTTGACTGTGGCTGCACCTATACCTATGAAGGGGGGTGGAGGTAGGCATGACATCTGCCCCATGCATAGGCTCAGTAAGGAGGGCGGGTGCTGTGATAAACCTTCGCAACCCCCCCCCCCCACCAGTGGGAAATTCTGCACACGCTTATGGCTGCATTAGTGGTGGCAACATGACTAAACGATGTGGTTGCAATATCTGTCCTCCTGTGCCTGCATGCAAGGCATGACTACCTCTTTGGGGAGTGAGAGCACTTCTGCCGCACTGAGTAGAGCCAGGAGTGTTTGTGCTCTTGCCTGAAAAGACAGCCACATCACCGTTTAAACGTTGCATTCCTCGTATTTGTTTTTAATTTTGCTTTTTTGTTTTAGTTGGCAATGGTAGCGACCATGCGTAGTTTGACACCACCATAGCGGACACTGTTGTTTGCCGCGTTGGTGCAGGTTGTTAGGGTAATGTCGACAAAGCCTATGTAGTGCATGCAGCTATATTTGCTGGATGGGTTGTGCTACATA